CCATAAAACTGCTTGGAGAAGATAATTTCTATATACTGAGATGCTTTGATAGAGAACCACCAGCCTAGGTCAAAACGGGGAAAAACCCATTGAGATCATTTCCTACTAGGACTAAGGATTTTCCACTCTGGACTGAAAACCATCTGGGTGAGGCTTCCTCACCCACCATTTATTTGAATATCAAGCTATGAAGACATTGAAATCAATGATGTTGAATATAGTGGTTAAGGTGTGTCAAGTCAACTTTGGCATATGACTACCTGTAATCCTTGATGTTACAACATCCTTATCATAAATGATAGCCTCATTAATAACCAAGCTCTTATCCATATCTGCCTAATGACCAGCCAGCAGCGATCAGCCCCGTCTGTACCACATAACACGAGCAAAATGCCTCCCTCACAGCTCTCTTTAGTTTTGTAAAATTTTCTTCTCACTTTGACAGTTTTTCATTCATTACTATGACTGAGAAAAGGAAATATGATGTATAAAATATGAAATCTACAAAAATGTCAGAAAAGTCTCCATTTATGAAATGAAGCATGATATTTCATTGTGTTGGAAAATGATATCAATAGGCTCAAATGCCTGATAAGACCAGACACAGAGGCAGCTCATATGGCATCAGGAGGACTTAATCTCTAATGATAAAGGAGGGAGTGGACTCAGCTAGGTATGTGTGGACAACTGGAGATATTACCAAGGATGGTGTGCACACTTCTCCATCAGGGCTCTCTTACAGAACTGAGATGATGGAAATGCTCTGAGTCTATGCTATCCACATGGTAGCCAATGACCACCCTATGGCTATTTAGCACTGGAAATGTGGCGAATGCCACCAAGCAAATGAATTTTAAATTTTGTTTTAACTTAAATAGCTACAACCCAGATCAAGATCATAATGTCCTCATAGGAGAGAGGTATACACATTTAGGATGATAAGGTCTGTCACGGTTTGGAAAGGTATCCCCCTAAAATCCATGTGGTAAAGGCTTGTCCCCAAGCCCAGGGTGCTGTTGGGATGTGGTGGAACCTCTAAGAGGTGGGGCTTATGGGAGGTCTTCATGTCCCTGGGGTGTCCCCTTGAAGGGGATTGTGGTAACACTAGCCCCCTCCTCATTCTTACCTGGCCATGAGGCAAGTGGCTTTATTCCATCATGCACTCCTGCCACCAGAGGCCCAAAGCAACAGGAACTTGATCTTGGACTGGAACCTCTAGAATTGTGAGCCAAAATAAATTCTGTCTCTATAAGTTGATTATCCCAGGCTGTAGAGATGGAAAGCTGACTAGCAAGGTCTGGGAAAATGGGGGTCACATTACACTTCAGGAAACCTAAATATCTGTATAAGGCTGAAGCAGGCTTGCACAGTCTGGTCTGCATATAGGCCACAGGTCACCTTACCCACACCAGGTGCACCCTATCCATCTCAGAGTGATCCAGGGCACAGTACACTGCTCAGTTATGCAGGCTGACTCGGCATTCTCAGACTCCAGCCTAGCACAGCCTGGGCCATGAACTTCTCTGAACTCAGGTTGAGGAACTAGAGTAAGGTTCAGCTCAGACATCTTTTATTTAAAAAAAAAATTATTTGTTCTTTTTAGTTATACATATATGGCAGTAGAATGTATTTTGACATATACATACAGTGATAACTTTCCATTTTTGCGGTTGTATGTGTTGGGGAGTTACACTGGTTGTGTATTCACATGTGAACCTGAGAAAGTTACGTCCGATTAATTCTACTGTCTTTCCCATTTCCATCCCCCTCCCTTCCCTTTATTCCCCTTTGTGATCTTCTATTCTCCCCCCAAACCTCCACCCATGCTTATTGTGAGTTAGCATTCGCATATCAGAGAGAACATTTGATTTTGGATTCGGGGGATTGGCTTAATTCATTTAGCATATAGTCTCCAGTTCCTTCCACTTACTGGCAAATGCCATAATTTCGTTCTTCTTTGTGGCTGAGTAATCTTCTGCTGTGTATATGTCCCCCATTTTCTTTACTCATTCATCTGTTGAAGTGTACCTAGGTTGGTTCCATAGCTTAGCTACTGTGAAATTAGCTGCTGTAAACATTGATGTGGCTGTGTCACTGTAGTATGCTGATTTTAAGTCCTTTGTATATGTACTGAAGAGTGGGATAACTGGGTCAAATGGTGGTTCCATTCTTAGTTTTCTGAGGACTCTCCATATTGCTTTCCAGAGTGGTTGTACCAATTGGCAGTCCCACCAGCAATTGTACCTTTTCCCCCACATTCTCATCAACATTTATGGTTACTTGTATTCTTGATAATTGTTATTCTGGAGTGAGATGGAATCTCAGTGTAGTTTTAGTTTGCATTTCTCTCATTGCTAGAGATTTTGAACATTTTTTCATATATTTGTTGATCAATTGTATTCCTTCTGTGAAGGGCCTGTTCAGTTCCTTAGCCCATTTATTGTTTGGGTTATTTGTTTTATATATATATATAAATCCTGGAGATTATATATATCCTGGAGATTAATGCTCTGAGGTGCAAGTGGCAAAGATTCTCTCCCATTCTGTAGGCTCTCTCTTCACATTGTTGTTTCCTTTGCTGTGAAGACAGCTCAGACATCTTTAGAAGTTATGCTGGGAAGTCTCTGAAGTAGCAAAAAAAGGCTTATTTCTCCACCTGGTGATGGGAGTCAGGAATGGGTATACAGGAAGGAGGCTCCCAGTTCAAATTGTTCCTTTAAGCAGTAAGCACAATTTTTAAAAATATTTTTATTTTTTAGTTATAGGTGGATACAGTGTCTTTATTTTGCTTTATGTGGTGCTGAGAATGGAACCCAGTGCCTCACGTATGCTAGGCTTGTGCTCTACCCCTGAGCCACGACCCCAGCCCCAATTTTTTAACATAAAGAAAATAGTTGGTGGAAGCCCACGGCTATCACAAATTATTTTGCCTCTGAATTAGTAAAAGAAACACTATTTTCTTTCAATGCATGTAAAAGAGTTTAGAAGAAGTGGCAAAAAAAAAAAAGATGGTTTGATTGTTGCCTGATTTAATGAAACAGTCTTTAATACTTAACAGTGTTATTAATGAAAAGCCTTGTGTATATGCATTTCTTGTTTTTGAGAGCACATCTTTGGAAAAGATTCCTAGAAGTTAGACTGCTAGGTCTAAAGGTAATGTTTGTAATTTTACTAGTTATTTCCAGTCATCCTCTACAAGGATTGGACCATTTAGCATTTCCACCAGCAACAAGTATGTCATTCCACTTTTGGATTTTGCCTCTCTGAGAAGTGAGAAATAGCATCTCAGTGAAGTTTCAGTTTTCATTCTTTTCCTACAATCCATATGCTAAGAATTTAATTCCAAAGAAACAAGACTCCTTTGGACAGTAACACCTTTAGGATTGTCAAAGAAGAAAACTCACTCCTCGGCTACACTCTATATGGAATAAAGAAGTTTATCTTACAGATGGACATGAATTGTTAAGTTCTCATTCAGTAGCTCAGTCATGGGGAGGTTATGGAAACAGAAGAGCCACGATTCACAGAACAAGGAGCCTCAGAGAGCTCTTTCAAGCGGCATACGCCATTGCACATCTGCAGAGGCATTCACCTCCAACAAACAGGCAATGGGCACAGTTTTAGTTAGCTTTGCGTCACTGTGTCCAAAATGCCTGACAAGAACAACTTAAAGGAGGCAAAGTTTATTTGGGGTTCACAGTTTCAGAGGTCTCAGTCCAACTCCATTGCTCTGGGCCCAGGATGAGGCAGAACATCATGGGGGAAGGGCCCAGTGCAAGAAAGCTGCTCAGCTCACCAGTGGGGTCCCTCCAGTGAGTGACCCAATTGCTCCAGCCATGCTCCATTTGCATACAGTTACCTCCCAGTCATTCCATTCAAACTAGAATGGACTGATTAGGTTGCAGCTCTCACAGTTAATCATTTCTGAATATTCCTGCATTAACACAAAGCGCTTTTGGGGGGATACCTCCTATCCAAATCATGACAGAAGTTTTTTGAGAAGATTGAAGATTACTTTGGAATTGGAGGATTTTGGTGCAATAATGAAAAATCAAACTTGATAGTGAAAGATTAACTAGATGAAGGACGCCACACTTTCAGTCAAAACATTGTGGAACTCTTTTTCTTAGTAAAGAAGTTCATCTCCTGCTGCCTATGTCGAAGGGGTGTTTGCATGTCATTTGAATTACCTGTCTGAATTTTAACACTGACTAAATGCTCGCAAAAGCATAGCCTTGTCATTTCTTTTTTATTTTTTTTTTATCAATTTTGGCATTTTAATGCTAGAAAGTGGATATTTGAAATGAGGAATTACGGAAATATTCAGTACATACGTTTACAGAGGAGGCATTCATTGAGGATAGGTTGCTCTAGTTTTTAATTGATTGCTGGCTAGCATGCTACCAACTTATCGAGCATTCAACCACATCTAGTGATGGTCCTCTGTGGGCTAAGAACCTGCTAAAAGCTGGGGATATAAAGATGATTGATCCAGGGTTCCTTCCTTAGAGGAATGTACCATGCAGTAGAGCAGACTGGCAAGTAAATGAGTAAATTAATAGAACCTCTGATATGGAACCAACCAGAACGCTCTATAATTACTTGCATGTATCTTTGTTGGTAGTTCAACTTTTTAAAAAATAACAGATTTAACTGAGAAAAAATTCACATGCCATATAATTCACCCATTGAAAGCACACAATTCAATGATTTTTGTACATTCATATAGCTGAACAGCTATCACCACTTTCAGTTTTAGAACTTTTCATCATCCCCCAAAAAAGGTCTATGTCTATTAACAGTCCCCCTGTTTGCCTTGAACCCACTTAGGCAACCACGAGTCTTTTTTTTTCCTCCACATTTTTTATTGGTGCATTATAGTTGTACATAATGGTGGGACTTGTTGTTACATATTTGCACGTGCACACAACAGAACACTGTAATTTAGTCCATACCCTCCTCATCACTTACCCCCTCCCTCCCTCCTCCCATACCTGGTCACTTTCCTCTGTTCCACTCTCCCTTTGCTTTTCATGTGATCACCCCCAACTTTACTTTTGCTTTTTTCTCTCTAGCCTCCATATGTGAGAGAAAACATATGACCCTTGACCTTCTGGGTTTGGCTTATTTCCCTTAACATAAAGGTCTCAACTTCCATCCATTATTCCTTCAAATGACACTATTTCATCTTTCTTAATAGCTGAATAAAACTCCATTGTATGTATTTACCACATTTTCTTTATGCATTCATCTACAATCACTCATCTTTCTGGGCTCTGTAACTTTATCTGTTCAAAGCCTTTCATACAAAGAAATGAAAACAAAATCACACAATGTGTAGTCTTTTGTGACTGTCTCCTCCCAGTTAGCATAATGTAATAAAGGTTCATCAGTGTTGTAGGGTGTACCAGCATTTAATTCCCTTTTATGCCAAATCATATTCCATTGTGTGGATATGCCACATTCTCTGTTTTTGTTCTTTCATTAGGTGATATTTATATTTGGAGAAATGCACAGATCTTAAAGGTAGCTATACACGTTTTATTTATCTCTTCAGTTATAGATATTTGAGTTATTTCCTTTTTTTGGCTGTTAAGAATAATGCTGCTGTCATGTCCAAGTTTTTGAGAGGCCTTTTGGTGGAATTGCGGGGGTTCACCTCTGAGGAACAGGTTCACTTGGGGAAACAACACATCTTTGCATGCCCAGAGCCAAGTACACTAATAGAAATTCAGTCAGTTAACAGCTTCTTGCTCAAAACTGCCATCAACTCAGTGTTCCTGTTATGGAACTAGGAGGGGCCTTTGTTGTCAACTGGCCTGCACCCCAGGTCAGGGGTCATCCAGCCCATGGCTGTAATGTGGTCCTATCAAATTCATGTTTTCCATCTCATTTACATGGACTGTGAGCATCTTGGCCAACATCCATGTGCATGATCTCTGTGAACTCCCCCCTATCTGTGAATCTAGTGACAGTCCCACAAAAGCAGAAAGTGTGGTTACTTTGGCATGGCCTATTCTCACAGCTCATGCCTATGGCTGAGAAGTTGACTGCTTCATGACAGATTCTAATCTTCAGCCAGGAATAAACACTAACTTGTCTATGCTTCCCGGATGCCACCTTTCTCTCGTTTTCTTAAAAAATTACATCAGAGCCTTTTGGGATCTTTCGTTTCTCTCTTTGCCCACGTTCCCCTCCCTGGAGTCTGGCTCATCTAAGCTTGCAGGTCTGTCCGCTTTACTATCTCAGCGTTTATCAGGAGGTTAAAGCTGCAGGGCTCCTGGCCCTCTGGGTTCCACAACTCTCTAAGCTTCTTTTTCTTATACACTTCCCAGTAGGAAGATCATTCCCCAGATAGAGAAACAAAGGAGTTACTGAGCGGTTCTGGGCAGGTCTGTGTTCTTTCCCACAGGTGTTTACACTATCCTCTCCCTCGAGCCCAGGAGTCTTCTTCCTTGTTTCCTGGCTCTGATGGATCAATAAAGCCCTCTGGGTTGACCCCAGCATTTTTCACAAGCCCTGATCATTGTTGTCTCTAGAGCTTCCTCTGGTGGTTCTTAAAGGCCCTCTTTTGTGGCTGTCTCTGTGTGGCTGGCTGTGGGATCATTTAATTTACCTATGGGTACTATCTGGGTATAATTTCTTCTTAGTGAAGGACTCCCCCTTGTTTCTCTTTTTCTGGTGGCCTCAGAGGTTTTCTACTGCTCTCCTTCTTGGCTGCCACCACCTACTTTTCTTCTTTGTTCTCCCACTCGGGCTCTGCAGGAAGGAACCCAGCTGCACATATCTTTCTTGCTCTGCTAAATAAGGTAAGATATTCTGTTGAAGTCATCTGAGGCAATTTGTCCCTGGTAAAGGCAGGAAAATTGAGGGTTAAAAAACAATGGGGACAATGATAAGAAATCTTTAACATTCATCATAATCATCCCTGAAACCTGGGACACATTAGTTCTGGATCTTGTCTTTCTCAGTCACCCCACCAGTGGGGTCCATAAGTCGTTCTTCCTGATCTCCCTTCTCTGTATGCATTTATGGGGACACTCAGGTATTTTCCCATCCTCCCTCTTCCTATTCTTATCGGTGCCTTCCTGCATTGTATGCAGATGGCAATATGAGGACATCTGGACCACAAATCAGAAATCCTCTCCAAATCCATAACTTCTTTGTTCCCACTGTAGTTACTTTAATCCATGTGTCCCTCCTCCCATCCTGTGTGCATGTATCTCATTTGAGAGCTGGGCCAGCAGCCACACTGATATCTCAATGCCAGCCCTCTTCAGGGCCATTCAGAGTTCCATTCATACTCCAAAAAGCACACAGCCAACTATTGCTATTCACAGTAGTGATAGTCTATAAAGTCTCCATGGACACCGAGTTGATGAATACTGAGCCATTTCTCCTGGGGGAAATACAGGGCTATGCTCCTATGAGCTGTTGGTTACATTTTCTTTTATCCACTGGTTGTTTCATTTATGTTTTCTGTTCAGAGACTCCTTAATATATAGTGCTGATTCATTAGTGTTGAACTCATGGCCCATGGCAGTAAAACTCATGCCTCAACCAAGTTTACCTGGCATACGCATCTTCTTCAAAGACCCAACACAGCCTTCTTGCACTTAGAAATAGAGACAGCACTTCAGATCAAGTATGGAGGTGATCTTAAGTAGCAAAATCACCCACAAAAAGCACCAAAATGTAATACTCAATGAGAAGGCAGAGCATTGTCTCATTTGACTTAGCTGGGAACATGTAATTCAAATTTTTGTCACTCTGGGCACATTTCAAGTGACACCAAAGAGCCACACATATTGATTTTGAGATTGCAAATATATTTTCTCAAATAGGAGAATTTGCAAATATGGAATTTGCAAGTAATGAGGATCTGCCAGACACACACACACACACACAAAAAAAAAAAAAAAAAAAAAAAAAACCACCCAGGGCACAGGCCACAATGTGAGCCAGGGGCTGTGGTATTTGGTTCACCAATGTATACACCATACTTAGCAAAGGGCCTGACATTGGAGGCCCTCAATAAATATCTGTTAGATAAGTAAATGAATCACTGAAAGTCCAATAAGGTCAATTATACATTCACAGAGCAAGTATCTCCATCTACTCTAGTTACATAGTCCATACAGATTAAATATAATCTTATAAAAGCTACAAAGGCCATTAAGATACCCATCACATCTTCATGTTCATGAAATAATTTTTATTATGATTATTAGATTTGTGTGGTTCTTCATCGGCCAAAAACCACATTCATGTAGTTCCAAACCTATAGCATTTATTGTAGGTAAGCAGATTGTTGATTCAATCATCTAAAATCATGGTAAATTTTTAAAAAAACTTTTAATAAAGCCTAGGGAACACTATGATAAATATGTTAGTTCATATCCCAGTTCTATGTGTTTTTCTCACTGGTAATATGATTCTGGTTCTATAGTCATATGGACCTTGGGGGTCCCAAAGACAGGAGATAGCTCATTGTCTTTTGGAGACAAAATAGGCATATCTCCACCTAGTGGTCAAAGGTAAAATGAGGGAATGTTGGAATGGGTTTGGACCATTAGATTCTGGTCTATGCAAAGGTGTGTGAGGGGAAAAAAGAACTAGATTGGTCAAGGAAAATCCACTAGTTTTCCATGGAAAACAATAAGTATAGGCAGTCTAACATGAGCCCTGGGATCATAAACTTAACTTTTGAATTTCAGCTCCACCACTAATGAGCTATGTGATTTGGGGTAAGATGCCAAGTATCAGCTTATTCATAAGTAAAATATGAATAATAATACAGCATATGTTCATTTTAAGAATTATAAAAGAATGCATATAAACCAATTAGCATAGTCACTGGCACATAGAAGGCAGCTGGTAAATGAGAAGTGAGGATCTAACCCAGGGGTGCTTACCACTAAGCTGTGCCTCTAGTTCTTTTCAATTGGTTTTGAGCCAGGGTCTCACTAAGTTGTTGAGGCTGACCTTGAACTTGTGATTCTTCTGCCTCAGCTGGCTGAATCACTGGATCACAGACCTAGCTGACATGCATTCTGTGTGTGTGCCTGTTTGAAAAGGGGGTAAAGTATTTCCTTAAGGACAGCAGTTAAGTTTTGCATACATGCCCACGTTTTCAGTAACAAAGCAACACGGTTTGCAAAAAGCACAAGGAATCACAATGTTATATGCTTTAGTACAACAGGACCTATTAAATCATCTATTGAATAGAAAGTGTATTAAATAAAGAGAAACCCTGAATAAAATGACTCAGAGGAAAGGTTACACATCTCAGGTTGACTCACCATTTCAGTGGAAATGCTCAGTGGTAAGCAGGTCCGGGTTGTTTCCTCCATGCCCACTAAAAAATAAAAGGCAATGAGCTAGGGCACAAACTGGAAGGTGTTACAGATAACGGGCTCTCCTTGCCTCCCTAAGGAAAAGCCTTATCTTTTCTTAAAAAGATATTTCTCATCCTGTCAAAATAATATTCAGTAAAAGGCATCCTGGTCTCAACTGAGGCTGCACACGCAGCGTCTTTTACAAAGGTCTGTATGAATGGAAATGTGAAAATTTCACATCATAACTGGTGTTGAACTTTCTACCCACTGTTGTCCCTTCCTACTTCTTAGGGTTGAGTGTGTCCCCCAAAAGATATGTAAGTCTTGACCTCCGGTTCCTGGGAATGTGCTCTTCTTTGGAAAGAGAATCTTTCCTGATGTATCAAGATGTTGCTTAAGATGAGGTCTTGCTGGAGTAGTACCCCTAATCCAACGTGACTGGTGTCCTATGAGAAGGGTAGAACACACACACACACACACACACACACACACAGAAGTCGATGTCATGTGAAGACAGACGTACTTGTGACATGCGGAGAGCGTCACGTGACCACAGAGATTGGAGGGAGGTGATAAAGCGCGGAGCACCAGGGATCGCGAGTGACACGGAACGGAAGAACAAGGCGTGAAACGGGTTCTCTCCAGAAAGAACACAGCCCTGCTGACCCCCTGATTTCAGACTCTGGCCTCCAGAGCGGTGAGACGGTGAATTTCTGCTGCGTCAAGCTCCCAGCTTGCGGCACTTTGCTGCGCTGCGCCAGCCCCAGGAAATGAACAGCCTTCCACGTGCCTGGCTGGGGGTGGATGTTGATCTGAGCCGGGTTTAATTCCCTGAAATTCTAACCTTATAAAACTATAGCAAGCTACCTCTAAACACGAGGGGATCACAATCATTTGTGTTCAGACTACACTGAGCAATAGTTGCTGCTGAAGACATGCACACGGTCAGGATCTCTGCAGTGCTGGCCCCACCTGGGCTGCGCAGAGTGGGGATTTTCCTCTGGTGGCTGACAGCGGGCTCCTGAAGCCTGGAACTGCCAGGTCATCTGCCGGCTTCTGTTTCCGTGTGGAGAACGTTCATTTAATCTGCAGATGCCTGATCTTACACAGAAACTTCCAGACACCTGACACCTCTCTTCCCTCCTCCTCTGCCTTTTGCCAGCTCCAGAAACTCTGCCTCTCTATCCCCTCCCCTCTCTCCAGTGAAGAGTACGCGAAAGGCAGAGTATTGGGCTTTGAAATATTCTTGCTACATTAGTATAACCCCTGTTTAAATCCATGGCATGTCAACTCCGAATACTGGGGCTTAGGAAATGCTCAATCATCCTCTTGATTGAGTGCCTACTATCCAAGGCAGATGCCAGCCCCTTCCGCAAAGGGCTTCCCTGGACATCAAAATGCTTGTATTTAAAGACAAAGCCACTAGGTGGAGCTCCGTTTAAGGTTGGACCCAAGGTCCTTATACTTCCCTTTGAGTATCAGGTAATCACAATCCCAGAACGAGGTGAGAAGCTCCAGGACAGACTGAGAAAACGGGTCCTTATCCTTAATGTTCGTCTTAATCTTCAGATTAGACAGAGCCTCCAGACGCTTCCGTCGTTAACAGTCTCATCTGTGATCAAGTACCCTCTACTCCCTCTTCAAGCTCACCCTATCAGATGCATCATAATGATGGTGGAATGTGATGGACATTATTATCCAAAGTACATGTATGAAGACATCAATTGGTGTGACTCTGCTTTGTGTACAACCAGAGATATGAAAAATTGTACTGTATGTGCATAATATGAATTGTAATGCATTCTGCTGTCATATATAAATGAAAAAATCAATAAAAAGTGTTTAAAAAAATGGTCAACCAGCAAAAGAAATGGTTCTCTGGAGGCTCTCAGGCTTAATGTAAGAGGTGATTTCAATCAGGGCGGGCCAGGTGCCTGGCGTGGCCCATGGTAGGGAGGGCAGAGAAGGCACCCTAGACACCTCACTGTGGCTGCCACCTGGCACTGGCTACACTGAGAGAACACTCTGTGCCCTTGAACAGCCTTCTGAAACACTCAGAGGACAGCCAGCTGAGAAGGATAGGCAGTGTTGACACCATGACAGGATAAAGTGCATTTGCAGTTGAACCTGAAATGCTCAAGTCAGAGGAAAGGACCTGAGCCAGATTCTCCTGTCAGAATCACTGTAAGTGACGAGCCAGGGAGCGCCAGGCCCAAACCAAAGGAGACTGACCAGTAAGGAATCTAAGGAGTGCTCTCAGGCTGCCCTGTTCCTTAAAAGAGACTTCCCCTTCATATTGTCTATGGAAAAGTTGGCTTTTTCTTAGTGACAGCATTGCTATTGAAGACCAGCGTCATGAGCTTCCTCAGCTCCACCCCAGGTGCAATGATAAGGCTTAAAAACAACACAAACCTGGCAAAGGGCACTCTTTCCTCTTGGTGCTACTCTAAGATTGGAGGACTTCCTCTAAGATGTTGACAAAATTTTCACACGTGTCACTAGCAAAGCTGCTAGATACCTTGGTATGGATTTGTGCCATATGTACAGAGGAACAAATCCTCTCATCTCCACCTCCACCATCTTCAAAGCAGAGTGTTGTTGTACGAATGATGGAGAAGGGAGCATGGGGTTCCCTGCTGCTCCAAATGTCCTGCTGAATGGCTCTAGGAAAAGAGCCCCCAAAGACAAAGTCAGATGTGCTGCATTTCCAGACTAACCTTGGCCGTCAGCCCTTCAAAGGAGGGCTGCATTTTCTGAGCCATCCAAAGAGCCCTGGAAACAGATGAATCTGATATCAAGCACTTTCAGTTTCCTTTTTTGTATCCCTTTCTTTCCTCTCTCATCAACATTGCAGCCCATTTTCCCTCTGTTTTTCTGTCCAAACTCCATCTCAGGCTAGGTGTGATGACGCCCACTTGTAGTCCAGGTGACTCGAGAGGCTGTGGCAGGAGGATCACAGGTACCAGACCAGCCTGGAAAATTTAGTGAGACCCTGTCTTAAAATAAAGACTAAAAAGGGCTGGGGATGTGACTCAGTGGTAGAGTGTTCCTGGGTTCAATCCTCGGTACCAAAAAGGAAAAGAAAAGAAAATCTTGATCTCAGGGGGAAAAAATTATCAGCAAATTGAAGGCCATGAACACAGCCTCGTTTTCTGTCTACACAGCTTATTCCTCATTTATTCATCACCAAGAAGACGGAGGACGTTTTTTGGAATCTTTGGGTACCCCTGAAACTTAGACCATGTAACAGGGAATTCTCTTTTAAGGTTTGCAGTATTGGCAGCCTGAGAGTTCTTCTCAGAGTTTCAACACTATTCAGTCCTGTTTGCTGCACAGGGATCCTAAGGTACCCCCTTAAGTTGCCCTGAAACATGACTCTACTCTTTACTCCATCTACCCTAAAAGCTAATAGTATTGATATCCAGAATCATGGCTCACCCAGGAAATGCTACCCTCTTGGATATCCACCTTAAAAGTGATCCATTTAATTCTCAAAGACATCTGTGATGAAGAGAAAATAATCAGTGAGGCTTCTAAAATTGTGTGGCCAGGAGAGAGAGGTACATTGGTAGGAAGGTTGGGACCACTGTTAACTGCTTTGTACCTTCTGGAAGTCCAGAGTTTCAAGACAAAGACATTCTGTTTGGTCTTTCAATATCATTAAAGATGTTGAATTTTGTTCCAGAGAGTAACTGACCAGAAACATGGTGTGATAGAAGTTCAGATACAAGGTTATATACATAGCATCCCCCAAAGCAAAGACAATTTGAAAAAATCCTAAAATAATAGCCTCATATTCTCTTGGTTGCTCCTGTATCAGAGGTTCTGGTGATGAGTTTTGCTCTAGTTGAAGAGACGGTCACCTTGCACATGGTAACAACTGTGTTTTGTCTTATTTCATGCACCATGCTTTTTCTTTTAAGCCCTGGAGCTTCCTTGTTATCATTGAGATATTGGGCATTTATATATCTGCAAAACAGGGTACCAACCCCTTCTACAACTGCCCTAGTCAAGCCCGTGAGGTTTTGAGGTTCCTACAGGCATTCAGGAATCCCAATCTAGAGAAATGACTTCTTAAACCAAAATCCTCCAATATGAGCCCATCTACTCTCTCTAGCCCAGAGGGCAAAGCGATCTCTCTATGCTGGCTGAAGGAGGCCTGATGTAGGTGTTTCTCCAGATCACCGAGAGCTGGATTTTTTTTTTCCCTGAGAAAGAAAGAGGAGAGAACTGATTACCCAGACTCACCTCTGAGTCCCTGGTGCTAGAAGAAGCCTCAGGCCATGGCATGGATGACTCCTTAGCTTGGGAACTGTCAGCTGTTCCTCACACTTCTAGAATATCGTTGATAGAGTGGGGACAGCAGGGCATTGAAATGATCAGAGATGGAGAGATTTTGTAGGAGAGTTTTTAGAGATGCAGACTTGAAAATATTACACTGAAACTTTACAAATCCATGAAAATTATGGTTACCTTTGAACATTGAGGCTTGTTTGTTTTGCCAAATTCCAGACTATCAGACACAGAAAGTGATCCCTGAGAGTACAATGAAGGTAGTTTAAGAGCAACTAAAAGTGAACTCCCTTTTACACTAGAATGAGTCCATTTATTTTCATTTATTTATTTTAACCATAGAATGTGGCAGGAATTCAAATAGATAAATAGGGTTAGGCTGTAATTTTTAAAAATGGCCTGAGTTAATCATTAAAGGATTTAAGAGATGCTGGTTTCAGGGGTAGGAGCAGCCCAGGAGAGGGCCTACCTATAGGGCATCAAGCCTGGAGAGAAGTTGACCCTGCCTGGGGTCAGCTGCAGAAGGGATCTGGTCATGGGCTCTGCTCAGTCTTTATTTATGAGGCCTCCTGGGACACTTCGGTCCTGGTTTGCCCATCTTCTCCAAGAGACTGTTGGAAGAGCAGATGTTTCAGAAGCCTCTCTCAGCAACTAGGTGGAGATTTAGAACAGTTGGATTTCCTGAAAAATGGCAGCAGATATCCATAAATAAATATCAGAAACTAAATACAGAATGCTTGGCATTTAGCATATTTTTGAAACACTGTTTACTAATTTCTTTGCCAAGTGCCAGGGTTGCCAAACAGCTTTTAAAGATTTGGCCTGTCCCCACCACTCAATTTATGATCTGGCTCAAGGAAAACGTTAACCAGATTCAGAACAGCCAATTGTGTGTTTGTGTTTGCATAAGTAACTAGATTTTATCCCCCACCTGTTGCAAGCATGTATGGAAAGGGTATCGTTAGGATTCAGGACACAGGCTGGATTTTGACAGCTAAGAGACAAAAACAGAGAAGACAAATATGAAACTGCATCGCCTGCCATTGTTGGGTCCCTCTTCCAGGGCAGGCATTGCTAAAGGATCTGAGCCCTACAGAATGGAGAGAAAATCTTTATCACTTGCACCTCAGATAGAGCATAAATCTGTGGGACACATCAA